ACACACATATACACATTTGAGAGAGCAAAGAGCATCGAGAGAGAGAGAGAGCAAGCATTGAGCATAGAGGGATCTTTTGTTCAACCGACCATCTGGGTCGAGCGCATGAAGCGGAATGATTGTGCTTTCGTATATTTTCGTAGCTCGAACCTAAAAGTGAAGAGCCGAGCGAATACGAAATTGATGGGCCCTAGAAAGCAGATTTTTCGGTGTTGAAAAACTTTGTACTACATGTGTAGTCTATGTGTTGTTTGGTCAGTGGTTAAACATAATAATAATATAATTAAATTGTATCCCATTGTCATTCTGCGCGCAACAAACAAGTTTTAGGCGCTACCTTGACAATCATATGTGAAACGTTGGGCTCAGAAATTATTGCTTGTTATTGCTTATAGTATTTCTCTTAAATGAGTGTATTAACATATGTATTTGTCGTAAATGCGGTTTTTGCCTCTTTTATAGCTGAATGCAGCATACAAGAAAATAATTTCTTCTCTAAATTACCTAAATTTCACGAGAAGAACGTTCCCAACGAATATATTGTGACCTACCATTCAAAATACTATACACAAGTTAGGAATTCATTTATTTCAAAGAGGCTAATAAAGGGAAATGTATGTAATATGCATTTTAAATCTATGACTTGCCAAAAAAAAAATACAGAACAAATTTTCAGGTATTAAAATGGTCAATTCTATCCCGTTATAATGAAGCTAGTCATTATCCAAGTGATTTCGACATTTTGGTTATAACGGATACAAATTACACTTCAATTGAACAAACACTGAACTTTATCAGAGCCCACCCCGCTGTTAAAGGAGTTTCTCGTCATCATTATGTCCAAAGACTTCTATCATACAATAACACATACAGCACCGTATACAATATTCGCAGTCCTCAAGGAGTTGCGCGAGATAAGCATGCGAAGTCTGGACAGCAGCAGCATGTGGCCGCCTCCTTATATGCGGACGTTCTTTGGAAACTTGGAATTACGGGGAAAGGTGTTAAAGTTGCAATTTTCGACACCGGCTTAACTGAAAATCATCCCCATTTTCGAAACGTCAAGGAGCGAACGAATTGGACAAATGAGAAATCTTCAGAAGACGGCGTGAGTCATGGGACATTCGTTGCAGGTGTAATAGCTTCTTCAAAGGAGTGCCTTGGATTAGCTCCAGATGCAGAGTTACATATATATAAAGTTTTCACAAATTCTCAGGTAAACACATCGAATGGCACAAGCCGAAAATTAGGCAGAAACTATGACTAGAAATCAGATTATGAATAGAGTCTAAAGAATCTACCATTGGATTTACATTTGGATTTGGAAAATATAATCTGATTCATAGTTATCTAATTCAGTTGCCCGACCTACATATTTATACTATAATATAACATTTATTTTTAATTTAAGGTATCTTATACTTCGTGGTTTTTAGATGCTTTTAATTATGCCATTTACAAGAAAGTGAACATTATTAATTTAAGCATTGGAGGACCGGATTTTATGGACTCCCCATTTGTCGATAAAGTTCTAGAACTATCAGCAAATAATATAATAATGATATCGGCTGCTGGAAATGATGGTCCCGTATACGGAACTCTAAATAACCCGGGTGACCAAAGCGATGTCATAGGCGTTGGAAGTATTAATTTTGACAATAAAATCGCCAGATTTAGTTCTAGAGGAATGACTACCTGGGAGCTTCCCGTTGGATATGGTAGAATAGGGTTAGACATTGTCACCTATGGCAGTCAAGTTGAGGGAAGTGACGTACACAGGGGATGCAGGAGATTATCAGGAACTTCAGTCTCATCGCCAGTTGTTGCAGGCGTCGCAGCTTTGCTCAGAAGTGGCGTTTCGCATAAAATAGAATTAGTCAATCCGTCATCCTTGAAACAAGTGCTTGTTGAAGGTGCTGAAAGGCTGGCGAATTATAATATTTTTGAGCAAGGTCAAGGGAAACTAAATTTGTTAAAAAGTATGCAGTTGCTACTATCCTACAAGCCGAAAATTAGTCTTATCCCATCTTCGATCGATTTTACATCAAGTTATATGTGGCCTTACAGCAGCCAACCACTGTTTTATGGAAGCACTGCTGCGATTGTAAACGTTACAATTCTTAATGGCATATCTGTAACTGGTAAAATTATTGATCAACCGAGATGGGTACCAGATCCTCATAATTTTGGTCGATACCTTAACATTTCTACATCTTTTTCAAGTACGCTTTGGCCGTGGACCGGATGGATGTCAGTTTATATTGGTAAGAGAGTAAAAAGACTTCTCTAGTCTAGACTGCAGGATATACCCTGAACAACACATGTACACACACACATACGCACACATTTCCATCCTGTTGGACAAATAACATTGCCCTCATATTATATCGTTTTTATACCCTAAACTCATTGAAAATGGGGAATCAGGGTATAGTGGTTTTGTTAAAATGTATGTAACAGGCAGAAGGAGGCGTGGCCATAAAGTATATATAGCACCGACCGTCTGTCCGTATGTTTGAATGTGCCAATCTCAGAAGATATAGGAGATTTTCTTGAAATGTCCGTATCTACAGCGCGGATATCAGTTTACCTCTTAAAATCGACAACTCTTTAGGTTATTTTTTATCGATTAAAGTCAATTAAAATAAGATTTTTAGTTATATCTCCAATATCTTTAGAGCTATATTCGCCAAACTTGATATGTAAATTCATATATATTATAGAATTTTAATGATACAAGCGCAATCTAAAAGTTTCATGAAGTACATCTACAAGAAAAGTAATTTAACTCTTAGGCCACCATAGAAAGACCACACTCCCCATGCGTGCTTATACGTGCGTGCCTACACGTGTCTATGTTTTTTTTCTTGATATTGATACATATATCAGTTTCTCGAAGATTTCAGGGGATTTTGTAGTCCGGCAGTTTCGACTAGAGATTTCTTATTTATTTACAATCAATGATTATTTATCTCCGTAGCACAATGGTGTGCTTTATAAAATAAAGTATTTTTTGTATTTTCCAGTTGTTAATAGTGAAGCACATAACTATGAAGGTATAGCTAAAGGACGTATAATATTATTGATAGATAGTTTTCCAATTGGCACAAATTCGACTCTACGAAAGCAAGTAGAGTTCCACCTGACGATAAGAATTACACCAAAGCCACCCCGGCACAAGAGAATTTTGTGGGATCAATTTCATAGTCTAAGATATCCACCGGGGTATATACCTAGAGACAATTTAAAGATTAAAACTGATCCGCTCGATTGGAGGGCAGATCACATTCATACAAATTTCCGAGACACCTATATACATTTGAGAAACTCTGGTTATTATATCGACGTGTTAAGAGAACCGTACACTTGCTTTAACCCCCATGAATATGGAGTTTTATTGATCGTCGACCCAGAAGAAGAATTTAATCACGAAGAGATCTCCTGCCTCGAAAAATATGTCTACGAAAATGGCTTAAATGTTATTATTTTTGCGGATTGGTATAATACCACGGTAATGAGACACATTAAATTTTTTGATGAGAACAGTAGACAATGGTGGATACCTGATACTGGTGGAGCTAATATTCCAGCCCTGAATGATCTTTTGAGACCTTTTAAAATATCGTTCGGCGATTTTGTTGGTGAGGGGCACTTCAAGTTGGGAGACCATTCTATGTATTATGCAAGTGGAACAACTCTTAAAACATTTCCAAATAATCAAGATAATGTAGTTATTGGAACTAATTTATACGATCAAGGCGCATCGGTAATAGCTTAAATTTAAAAATAAAATCATATTTATTAATTTTAACATTTCCACCCACATTTAAGATTATTACAAACGGAGGATCACAAAATATGTATGCAAAACAATTTTTACCTATAATGGGATTATTTCAAACTAATTCCAAAGATCGGTACCTTGATAAAACGACGATTCAAAGGAACCCTCCAGCTGATGAAAGCACTAAGGACTGGGATATTCCGTTTAATCATTCAATTTTAGAAAATCGAATTTTATTCAGTGAGACGCTCACAGGTCGTATTGCTGTCTATGGCGATTCCAATTGCTTAGATTCCTCGCACATGGAGAAAGCATGTTTCTGGCTTTTAACAACCATTTTAGATTTTGCAATGAATTCTCATAAATCAATGTTATTAGAAAATTTGAATCGAATTACAGAGTTTAATGAATTGAAGGAAACGGCCTTACCTATCAGAATACCCAGTAGTAATTTAAAAAAGTTTTCATTGGTGGTCAAAAATAAGAAAAAGCCAATATTGCAATGCGAAAAACTGGAATGGATAGTGGCAACAACGTTAGCAATCAGCCCAACCATAGAAATCGATGTCGATAAAATAGAAGGTATCCCATAAGTTCAAATATTTCATCATCTAAAATAACAACCTACTCTATTTCAGGAAATCAAAATAATATTATTGCTAACCTAAACACTGAGCTTGCCAAAATAACGTGGAATAATGATAAATATGTTTTTGACCAAATTGACCATAATATTAATATATCTGTTTTATTTATGATTACACTCAGCTTAACTGTTATGATTGTTTTTATATTATTTTTAAAAGGAAAAATAGGAGTTAATTCCTTTATATAAAATATATTGATGCAATATAAATATGCCTATTTTTTTATTTCGTTTTTGAAATTTTTATAAAACATTATAGATATATATCGTAAATCTGGAACAAATACTTACGGCAGAAGCAAAATATTAATGTACAGTCAACTACAAGACTTACACACCTTAATTTGTACATGTAGTTTAGTATGTGCCCACCCCATTCCCACTATTCAGAGAAATATCAGAGAATACAAATTATAAAAGCATTCCTTAATGATTAAAAACTGAATGCTCTTTTACCAAAATTCTTATATTTATAGCCCACTTATAATGCACTTGAGCGGAATGGCTGAAATTGTTTCCCAAATGACATGTTCCATTAAAATTCTGAAAAATGAGTAGTTCAATATTTCAATTATGAAATTCGAGCAAATGATATTTCAATAATAATCCGCACACACACACACGTGCACAGGTGACTGCGCTTGGGCTGCAATATTATATGTTGGCAATATTATGAGAATTTATTTGTTGAATAATTTAATTTCTAGACGTACAATTTCATTAAAACAAGTCTCTAGTATTTGACATACGTCTTTTAAAAAGATGTGGGTGGTGGGGTGGATATAAAGGTGTGTGTGTGTGGGGGGGGGTAGAAATTAACAAAAACCGAAATTGTATAAAATACGTCTTAATATATAAAGATATGGAGACTCTAGCTTTATATATTATATATAATTTTATAACTTCGATAAGAGGTTTTATCGATAACAAAATAACGGGATGAGCTATCGAATTTTGGTGATAAACTCGATATGCGCGTGATATAAACGGACAGACAGACGGACAGGGTCTAATCGACTCAGCTCGTCGCCCTGATCAAGAATATATATACTTTGTGGGGTCTGCCAAGCCTCCTTCTGCATGTTAGATACTTTTAACAAAACCATTATACTGATTTCCCATTTTCAATGGGTTCAGGGTAAAAAAAAAAAAACAACTATAAAACTTTAGTCGAGATCCCCTGAACCCTTCGAGGAACTGATATTTAAAATATTTTCGCTTTTCTGCTTACGAAAAGTAGATGACCATATCCATTAAACTTAAAAACCGTAATAACATTGAATAATCGGGAAAAACCGGTTTATTAAGTCACTAAGCATATAACACATAGACCGGACTTGTAAAGTTTTTTGCTCATTAATTTTAAGCATAGGTTCCTAGACCACTTTGTATTTGCGCATGGCATTTAGTTTTAGGTTCGGGCTAGTTTCGTTTTTGTTATAAGCCACCCATGCCTTCCCAATATTCATTCCTTCCCCTTAACATGTAAAAAGCGTATTATAAATACTAAAGACATGCTCTTTAGCAAGTGCATCCACTTATATGTTATTATCACGATTTGAAAGTTTTATGGAAATAACCTTCTACAAGAAATGGATTTAGAAAATAGGTTCCCACACTAAGTCCCCACTACCACCCATGCATGTTAATACGTGTATGTTTCTTCTGTAAGCAAAAAGCAAGCGAAGATTTATTGAAATATCAGTTGAGGGTCAGGAGATCTCGTAATCGAGCAGTCTTGACTAAAGCTTTCTTACTTATTTTACTTACAACTAACTTGAAATGCGCGCGCTCTACATAGACATTCAAAATGTTTACAGTATTAGCTCTTGTACTTTCTGAGATGAAGCCCGTCGCTTTGACCATGAATTTACATACAGTGAGTGACTTAATGTTATAATTCATTCAGGATGCGATCAATACAGATGTGTTCCTTTCCTACTCTCTACATGTAAATGGAATGATTATATCCTTCCTTTTTCAATTACAATAAAAACGCAGTAATGTTAAAAATATAATAATAGTTGTATAGTTTAATTTAATATAAAATCAGTAGAAAAAGAAACGGAGTCATGGCCAAAGTTAAAATCTATTGTTTTATACATTTAATACGTCATTCACTACTCTATCTTCCTTGTAGCGGTTGAAAGTCTTCTAATTCCGAGTCGTCAATTTCGCAAAGTCGAACGGAGAGATTGCTGTCTGAACCAGAATTTCCAGTCGCATTCGGAAAAAGATATATTTCTTCTGAATTTCCTGCAAACGAATATAAAGGTACTGATTGTTAAACTTTATACTTGAAGAGGATGAAAATTATTAATCAATTCGATTAGGTAAATTCCGATTTACACAGTAATTTAAACCCATTTTTTTTAATGGGACCGATTTTCGCTTTGGCGGGGTACAAATTAACGAGATGACTTTAATATTTATTTTTTTTTTTCATTGCAGCAAACGACTAGTCATCCTAATAAGTTCAGTCTATCTATTTCTATATATGAAACCAAATTTTGCATTAAATGCATACGAATTGTATATAAATATAATAGATATTACCGCTAATAGCTCTCCTTTGTAAGCCCCTTTTCAGAATAGCTGTCTCATTATTGGAACTTTCCGCCTCAGTGTCACTTGGAGTACGTAATGTAGGTAAATACGAATCAGGATGTCGCAAATATACTTTGCCTGGTAATGATGAAAAACAATAAATATTTTTAAAAATGTATTTAAAATATAAACTAATACAAGTAGCTGGCAATATTTCTTAATAATAATATAATCGCGCTAGCCAGAATATTCACCTTCCGGAAGTACCACAAACTTTCGTCCGTTGGTTTTACCCTTGTGCAAATCGAATTATATTTTGCATAGCGCTTTTCACAATATATATTTTTATACAATAATAATAATAAATTTTATCATGTTTTCTCTTTTGAACTTAGGGTCATTTTACGGAAGTCATACACAGTGCGCAAAGGTGAGCTGATGCATTAACTGGATGTTCGGGCAGCTCTTACATAAGGGACTGATTTCCCTATTATATTTATTATATTTTCTTTTAATATTATTTAAAAAGTATTTTTAAAATTTCTTAGAAATCTCTATTTTCTTGTTTTCTATAACACCACTGACCACAAAAGGCTGTGAATTGCGACATAGCCAGCCGCACAGGCAAAAAAATACCCCCTCCGGGTTAGTGGTTATTATTGAAAGTTTGTTTTCTGTAGGCTAGGCTATATAGTATACATCGCCGCATTCCCGCGAAATGATCGTATGTTGATTTTTTGCGAAATTGAGATTCTAATGCAGAACTTATGAAAAACATCTGCTTCACATACTTGCAAAAAATTAGAACTCAATTCGCTCTAGTTTCGGAAAAGATCAATTTCAATGTAAGCGTTAATATAAAAAAAAAAAATTTTTTTTAAATTAAAAAAAAAATTTTTGTTTGACACACGAGGATTTCAATTATATTCTTAATAATAAATAAATATAACACGTAGAGTGTTCATCTTAAAAAAATTGAAGCATTGCCTTGCTTATGCAAAATGTTTGCGTTTTCATAATAATTTGTAGGAAGAGTATAAATTTATTAGTCTGTGTACCAGACTCTTGATGTATGGATGTTGGCCGATCTTATGGGGTGCTAAATACATTTGTGAATTTGTGTGTATAGGCTATGCTAAAAATTGTGGAGTGCCTGGATTGAATTATACGTGACAAGAGATTTTGGTAAACTCGTCCCGTCGCAAAAAAAAAAAAAAAAAAAAAAAAAAAAAAAAAAAACAGAAGTTTCAAGGCATTAGTCCCCCTACAAGAATTTATACAAAAATGCATAAGAGAAGAATAGAACTTATGGAATATCAACTTTTTGAAACAAAACAAAAAACTCATAAAACTCATAAGGAATTACATAACAGGAAAGTATGTTTGTATTTTGTAACACTTATACGCAATTTAACTTACGCAAACGATTTGATTTAGATTGGAAAGGCACTGAATGCATAGAAATAAGATCGCTCCATAATTATTATATATCAATTTTCATTGTCTAATATTATTCATACCTGTATTTAGTTTGTAGTCTTCATTCTCGCTTTTATTAAATGAACTTAACCTTGAACGGGATTCATTATTTAAATTCGGCAACAAAAATGGCTGAACACAGCTTTCCATCTCTGAACCCATATATTCAAATACCATATCTTCATTTAGAGCATCTATATCTCTAGTTGGATCGATACCTTCTACTGCAAATGTGAAAAATTTTATATTTAATTTTTATTACCTATTCAGTTTATTTTGCCAACTAACTTACCATGAACTAAATATTTCTGTTTTGATTTAG